CTTTTCTTACTGTTTTCTTTATTTTTTATTTACTTTCTTTAGGAATACATTAAGGTTAGACTTTCGAAGGTGATATTTTGGTGATTTTCTAACTGTTTTCTTTATTTTTTCTTATTTTTAATAAATTTAATATATCTTTTTTAAATAAAATATAATATAATATATATTCTTTTTGAATAATTTATTAAATTTATTATGTAATAATAAAATAAATTATAAATCATAAATAAACAAAAATGAGTTTTTATTAGTTTCGATTTTTTAATTGATTTTTACTGATTGTTGACCTATTTTAAGCTGATTTATGCCGAATTTTGACCAATTTTTAACATAAATGTTGATTGATAGCTGATTTTCTATTTATTCAAAGTGCTAATTTTTTGGTAATGATCGGCAGAATTAGACTATATTTTGGCCAACTTTCGGCACTTTAAGAGTAACGAATTATATTATTTTATCCAGTGATATATTAAATAACTACCAATCGTTAATGTCGAATGTTTTTTTGTGTGGCATGGAAATGGGCAACTTCGGCTATACTAAAAATGCTGATTATTTTGGCAATGATCGGCAAAAATTAGACTATATTTTAGCCAACATTCGGCACTTTAAAAAAGTGACGAAATGGATTATTTCGACTAGTGAATACTATGCTAAATATAATTAGCGAATTATTATCACTGATAATCACAAATCTTAACTTTCTATTATTTTTATAATTTTTATAATTTCTTAGCAATCTATAATTTCTTATATTTCTATAATATAATAATTTTCTATATTATTTATTTTCTTATATCTCTTATATTTCTTTACTTTATTAAATATCTATTTTCTATTGATGTATTTTATATAAATATCTTGTATTTTTGCTATATAAATAGTAAAATTATTACAATTATCCAATAAAACAATAACATTTATCTCTAAAACTTAACTTTGCTCATTTATAATCTACTTTTCTTTAAATTTATAACAATAAAAGATGACTGGATCTTTCAAATAATTAATTTGTATTTATTCTTTTATAATTTAACTTAACATAAACTCTTTATTAGTAAATATTATCTATTAACTTAGCAAAATACTACTTAAGCTTAATAATGCTAATCTAAATCTCATACTAAGCTTAATATCCTAACTTTAATCTTATCCTATAATTTTTAATCACTAATACTATCAATACCACTTATAATCCAAACTAAAGTTTATTATAAGCTAGCTAACTCATTAAAACTCACATATAACTACTATAAAATGAACTAGTTCATACAATAGCTTATCTCATAACTCAGCTTGGCTTATTATCTTGGATTTTCATAAAAATCAACTTCAAAAGAAAAATGCTTTTGGTAATATTTTTTTTAAAATAAAATAATCTTGATAATATTTTCTTCAAAGAAAATTGATAATAATAACAAATTCTTCAAAAAATAATATTATAATTTTTTAAGAAAAATGCTTTAATAACGTAATTCTAAAGCTTTAAACTGGTTAGTCAGTTGAATAATTAACTTGATTTATCTGATAAGATCAGGTCAGATTAACATAAAATTGATCTGATTTAAATATATATTTAAATTGATCTGACTTGTCTAAAAAAGAAATTTTTTAGTTTTACTAGTTTAATAATATTTATATTTAAATATAAAAATAATATAATTAATAGAAAACTAAACAATTATTAATTTTGTATTAAAAAAAATATAAAAAATATTAATACATTTTTACATTTTATTATTTTTCAAAAATAAAAGATTACTAATATAATAATATTTTAATTGTAAAATTTAAAATTACAAGTTGTAATAAATCTCTAAATTAGATAAATGCTAATATAATTGCGAAAATATTCATAACTTTATAACTATTAATCTAATCATAATCTTATATATACAGATTTTCAAACCTGCTGAACAACTTTACTTATGTGTTTAAAGTTGATTTCCTTTGACCAAAATACTTAAATTGCTCTTTGAATTCACTATACAAATAAATCTAAAAATAAAAAAATTTCATAAAATAATACAATTATGAAAAATTTGCATAACTTTACACTGTTAATCTAATCATAATAAATATTTATATTCACATATTTTGAAACTCACTAAACAACTTTACTTATACAACTAAAGTTAATTCCATTTAACTAAAGAGCTTAAATAATTAAAAATAATTTTGTTGGTTAATATAATTGCAAAAAATGTTTATAATTTAAAATTTTAAAATAAATTACAAAGTTATCATATAGACAACTTTATTAGAATATAAAAAGAATGTATATTAAATAAAATTTAAAAAAAAAATAGATCAAAAAAATTTTTTTTTTAAATATTTTATTTCATTTAATTTGTTTAATTTAATTAGTTAACCTGAATTTTATCAAATCAAAACATAAGTTAACCTGACCTAATGTTAATCTAAAAAATTTGTCTATCTAATTTGAATTTTTCAGATTGGGTTAGATTAAATCACAGGTTAATCTAATCTGATTCATAGCTTTACGTAATTCTTAAAGAAAAATACTTTTAATAGTATAATTTTTAAAGAAAAATACTTAGTAAAGTAGCATAATTCTTAAGAAAAATTCTAATATAACATATTTTTAAAAGAATTTATTATAAAAGTAAGTTTCTTAAAAAAAATTATTACAAAAGTGGATTTTTTAAACCATTTAGAAACATTTTCTTTTTATAAAAATTATTTTATTTTGAAGAAAATCACTTTTTAAAACTTTTCAATTACTCTTAACTTTTTTCAGATTTTTGTTAATTATGTAAGTCATACGAACTAGCTTGTATAGCTTCAGTTTAGCTTATGTTAATGTTAGAAAATTAGATAATTTTGGATAGTTTAGACAGGGTAAAATCGATCTGAATCAAAAAAAAAAAATTTTTTTAAAAATCTGACAAGCAAAAAGTTATTATAATGTTAAATATAATCAATAAAAATTCTGTCTGTAGGCTTCTAATTTTTTTATTGCTATTTTCAAATCTATTTTTCAGTTTGAGCACAGAAATAAACACAAAATAATAAAAAATTTTACTTATCAACTTTATCATTTGATATTATAAATTTATATCACATACAACCTTCCAATTTGAGCAAGTTTAAATCATGATTACGTAACTCGCCAAAATATAAAATACACACAATGATCTGCTTTAAATGGTTCGATGTTGAAGAATCTTCATAAAGTTTAAATAGTTATATCTTATCTTTCTATGATTACGGTTTGACAAGTTTATCATGATTTATCAGCACTTTTACTATATGGGTTAAATTTGTCGATCACATACTTCTAAAAAGGATAATTCATTAATGGCGCACAGACAATAAAATTATATTCATATGTAAAATAATAAGTTTATTATGTACGTTCGTCAGATTTACAGTTCAAATATGACTAAATTCCAATACTTTATTGCAATTTATTTTATTAGTTATACTAAAAATATTAGCCTTCTAAGTTGTTTTCTAGAACCCTCCTACATCTAAAGAACGTTCTGCTGCTTCAATTGCCTGAAGTGCCATTGCATATTTCCAACCTTGTGAGAGGGAAGTAATCTAATTTGCAATAGTACTTTCCTTTGGTATACTTTCTTCTTCTATTTCTCCTTCTTGTACTCGCTGCATTAACTCACTTCTTATTTCTGCTGCTGTCATTTTTTTTCTTAAATTAGCAGTTTTGGGAAACATTATTTTAAGAAAATTTTTATATATGCAGGTATTTGTTTTACTGACTCACTAGTTTTTTGATTTTGTTGTAATGCAAACCTGAAACAAAAAATCTCCCAGCTGAATAAAAATAATTGCAAATAAGTTTATAAGTTTTATTTTTCAAAATTGAAATAGTGATAATAATAAAGATAATGTAATAATAAAGGAATCGAAGGTAAAATTGTGATGAAGGTTATAGTAGTAACAAAGGTGGTGATAATAAAGTAAAAGAAGGTAATGACAATGAAAAAATAGAAAGTGATGGAAGGTGAAAGTAATGAAGAAGGTGTAGATAATGGTGGTGATAAAAGAGATGCAGGTAATGGTGGTGATAAATTAAGCAAAGTAATTGTAAAAGGTTAATGGTAGTTAAAAAGTAAAAGGTAATATTGGTAAAAAAGAGATGAATGTAATTGTAGTAATAAAAGAAACGAAAATAATGGTAGTAATAAGAGTAGTGAAGGTGATGATGGCAATAAAGTAAATAAAGTTAATGGTTATATTAATATAGGAGAGGGTAATGGTGGTGAAAAAAATAAAAGGTAACGGTGATAAAAAATTAGTAGACAATGGTAGTGAAAAAATAGAAGATAATGGAGGTAAATAGTAGGCAATAGTAATGGTAATGATGAAGAGATAAAAGTACTAGCAGTAATAAAAAAAACAAAAGTAACTGTGATGATGAAAGAAACAAAGGTAATAGTGATAATGAGCAACTGTAATAATGTTAATGGCGATGATGAAGGAGATAAAGGTAGCGAAAGTAATTGTAATAAAAGGAAATAAAGGTGGTGAAAAAGGTAAAGGTTAGTAATAGTAATGATAAAAAAAGTAAATAAAATGAATTATAAATTATTACCCTTTACATTTAAAATTTAATTCTACTTTAATTTGTTTCGTTAAATCCACTGTATATTCCTATTATATAATATATTTTCAATTAGATTATTATGTTTCATTATTTTATTATTTTATGTATTATTTACTAAATTATTTATTTAATCTTCTGTATTTTCATCAATAGTATCTATTTCAAAACAAAAAATAAATAATTCAAATTACAAATTGATTTTATTTGAATATCATACCTTGATGATTGATCCTCGGTATAGTCCATGATTTTTGTAGATTTGAATGTGTCGAAATTATAGGATTTGTTAGGTAATTATCTGATTTTTGAATTAAATTAGGAGAAACATGTTTATCTCTCCAAATCTTGATAAAGATTGTGCATAAATTTATCCACTTTCATCATCATCATATTTTCAAGTAAATTCCAATTTTGAATTTCTGTAATTATTCATATTTTTTGTTTTTGTTTTCTACTTGAATTATAGAAAATTTATTTCATTATTAATTATAAATTTTTATTACATTTCAATTTTATATTTATTACCTTGATCTCGATTAGGTTGAAGGCTTGCTACATGGGTATCTGATCTTTGATTGCCATCTCAATATCTTCACTAGAAGCAAGTTAAACATACTGGGTGATAGCATGTGTAATCTCAACAGAAAATTTTTGATTACATTACAACACAAAATAATAAAAATAAACAAATTACTTACTTGAGCATGATGTGAATCTATGGCAGTTTTTGCCTTACCAGCTTCCAAAAAAAATCCACTTTTAACACATGTTATATCATTCTTTCCAATATGATAATATTATCATTAATTCTGCGTTATAATAATGTCCATCATTTTCAGATTTAATGGTTATAAATTTGGATTTCTTTTCAAGTATTTTAATAATTTCATGTAAGAAGATGCTGTAAAAAGAAGCATTTTGCTTGGTGTCTCCATTCCAATGATCAAAAGCATTAATATTGAAATTATTGGTATGTTGATTTAGTATATAATAAAATAGAATGTAAAGTCCATCCGCATTTACCAAACATATTCATCCTTTGTTTTACTTGCTTTTTTAGGATTAATACACATTTTATAATCTACAATAATTAAAGCCTCATCAGAATCAAGCTGAGAAAGAGTAGCAGATAATTGTAAATTTAAATAAATTTTACGTGTATTATGTGACATAAATGCAATCAATTTTTTTTGATATCCATCAAGATTTTCACGTAGATTCAAAGGTAAATGATCTTTCAAATTTTTGAAAAAATAAAGAGACTTTCACAATCAATGCAAGTGTTGAAATGCATTTTTTGATAATTACTGAAAATATATAAAAGGTAATATAATACACAAAAATCATGAGTTGCAATTCTGTCTTTTGTTACATTCAATTTTTTTGGATAATCCTTTCTAAGATAACATCATAAATCTTGAGCAGCAGCAATTAATTTGTTCAATTATAAAAAAAAATAGCTGGAGTTAAAAAAATTTTGAATTGAATATCAACAATTATTTGAAATTATAATCTTACCCAAAGTAACAGGTTTGTAATATTAATTCTTCAATATTTGCAAATATTTGATATTCACATTCATTGCACTAAACAAAGTCCACCTAGATTTTCTTTATATACAAAATATTTGCCATCTCATCTCGTCATAAATGATTTTCTTTGTATTCTATTGAGATACTGTTCATGAAATCGATTTCATAGAGCTTTTTTATGATCTTGTAAGTAAAGTACAAGCAATCTACTTGCATTATCAGTTTTATAAGAACTCATATTGATATGTTCTTTTGTTGAAAAAAATAATTCAAATTGTTTTAACTGTTCAACAGAAAATTTTACTCGGTAAAAGTTGGTTTATCCAGTAGAAGTGCTTCATAACCATTTGCTCGTGCATGATTACATATTATTCCCTGATATATATAGTGCTGATCTTCCAATACATTATTTATTAATTATTATTTAATAATAAATTTGTTTGCAGATATTTAAGATCATAACCATATCATCATGCATTAATGATGAAAAACAAATATAATTTAAGTACAAAATTTTATTTTTAAATGATCCCATGGAATAATGATTAGTCTATTAAAATAATCTCTCATTTACTTTACATATATAAAGTAAAATATATAGAGTTTTATAAAGTTTTAAATTATTATATATTTTAAAAGACCTAATACAAAACTAAGAGAACAAAAAATTTAAATTATTCAGACAAAGGTTTTCATAATATGTTATTATAAGAACTCATTATTTGTAGATTCAATATCTTCTATTTAATATAAATTAATTAAAGAATTTTTTTTTTTTGAAAATTGGAGTTGATGGGCATCCGTGACTATTGTTATTTCTTCCATACATTTTGGCCATGTTGTTTGGTAATCTAACAAAATTAAAATTACATAAGTTAGTGAAAATTATAAAATAAAAGGCAAATGAAAAATTTATTTTACATATAATTTTTGACAAAGTGTTATAATTGATATAATTGATAATATTCTTTGTATATTCTTTGTTGTCCCGTTTGTTTTCATCTAT